TGATGTTCGAACAAACCCTGGGCTTATGCGCGGGCATGGGCTTATACGCGGGTGGGCTTATCCGCGGGGTTCTACGGTATGCCAAAATATGCCAAAATATGCTCGACATAAGCAGAAAGTGTAGATCATTTCAGTAAAATTACAACCTTGGAATATTCATTGGCTTCACGGCTATCATGCTTATGGTGCAAATTAAAAACACATGCGGAATAGTATGGCTGGGATGTGTCCCCAGCAACCGTAGCGATAGTGTTCATCCATGGGGAAATGTAGCAAACGCCTCTGAGGCACCGGCGGATTATGCTCACGAAATCAAGGAATTATGCTTTCATGGATTCTCGCATTATGCTTGTAAAATCCTCATATTATATGCGTTGGCACCCGGGGATATATATTCACTTTGTTGTACTTATGGAGCCTCAAAGTTCGGGAAATTGTGCCTTTTTTTGTACTTGCAAGTTGCAAGTGGCCATAAGTACAAGAAAATACATGTACATGAGAATCCCCATACCAAGGGCAAGGTGTCCATGCATGTAAGAGGTCAACATGGAAAAGAGAAAACAATACTTCTTCTATTCATTACTTGATTTCTTTTGTACTTCAGTAAAAATATTATTTCATTGCCAAATTAGTTTGAGTTACCTTTGAAAATTATCATGTGCAACTGTCTTCTTAATCATCATACTCGTCCATCCGATGTCACCCTGGGCCTCACCCTGCGAATAATCAGCTCATCTCTCCCTAGCTCCACGTGGACCACGTCTCCTTCCATCATGACCGAACATCATCTATACATCAATTTAGAGCAGTATCCGTAGCCTGCAGTCATATCATGGCTGCTAAAATCCAGACTGGTCATGACTTCGTAACATGCATAATGTACAAATCATTTCGGTAATGTACATGTACTTCAAAGTACAATGTCATGTACACGGTGTTTTGCGGACTACCCGCCACTACATGTACATGTATCTCGTCCGCCCCGGGATACCTGATGAAGGCTGATTCACTCGCATCTTCTGCTACATGTACTGTGTCAGTGTGAGAAAGAACTTTGAAGAAGACGAGTTCGAGCATACAATAATGCATTGCCATGATTTCTACCCTGCAGGCCTGCTTTTCATTGAAAACACTATCTGCATGACCTCCGAACCCTTTGCCATGCAGACCACCAGCACTGCCACTGATCAGGTGCATTGTACACAATTGTATAGCCTATATACTAGAACTGTGGTATAATCGTGTAGTTATGCTCCTACCTCCGAGAGGATGCCAAATTATGCTCCAAATTTTCAACCATCAAATTATGCCAATAATTATGCCGGCATAATCCGCCGGTGCCTAAACTGTCGCCTCAACCATTCCAAATTCATCCATAAAAGGCATTTCTGAACGCATTTCGTCCATAATATGAATGTTTTGTCCTCATTTTCTTCAGAATATTTGAATTATATGCTGCCTTCATTCCAATATTCCCTTTGTCGCTCAATATGCCATACATGTATATCAACTGTCTCACAAAATATGCGGAAATATGCGCAAGCATATTTGGTCGAGGCCTAATCTGCCCTTGTTTTTCGGATGCCATTTTTATGCTCCTTCTCAAAAAGGACCTGATTACGCCAAACATTATGCCTTCAATTTATGCCTTCAATAGAAGGTATGTATAACAGCCTCATGCATTGGGCATCTGCCCTTGTTTTTCGGATGCCATTTTATGCTCCTTCTCAAAAAGGACCTGATTCTGCCAAAAAAAGATGCCGGCATAATCCGTTTACCGGTATGCCCCTAGTTTTCGCAACTTCTAATACTACCGGTAGTACTATTTAGAAAAGCGATCCTGTCAGCTTTTCTATTATTGTGTTCACATGGCAGAAAAAACGACATCGCTATGCTACGTAAGTTTCTACGTAAGGTGCTCGGTATTTCACTTAGGCTACGTAAGTCTCTACGTAAGGTGCTCGGTATTAGATCTACCAACGCGTGGTAGCCGTGTGCTGTGCACGTGCACGGCAGACATTGTGTTCATGTGCATGCAGTCCGCGGATCCGTGTTCGGATGTGCATGCGCGAGGAACTTCCTTCTTTGGAACTGCTTCTTGTATGATCATATGAGCTGTTTCGGATATTTCGTCTCATGGCCTGGCTTATTTCGTTTCGGCGCTGCTGAGACCTCCTTTCGCGGAATATTACTCAATGACAGGTGAGTTGACCAGTTGCCTTTGATTCATTTGCTTGTGTTGACTCTTTCATTCAGGAAAAGTGTGCTGATTTTGGGGCGGAATGCAATAAATAATGCCATTAATGGAAAAGTTGACAGGATCTCTTTTCTAAATTTTGCTTTTCTGCTGCCGAGCTGCGAGGCCTCCTTTTACGGAATACTCGATGACAGGTGATCTCTAAGTTGACCGGTTTCCTTCGATTCATTTGCTTATGGTCACCTTTCATTTACGGAAACGTGTGCTAATTTTATTCGGATTTAGATCCATTTTTATCTCTTTGCCCTTGTCTACAGTGTGCGAAGAACGCGAGTTCAACTTCTTGACGGTAAGGCTTATGTTAGATGTGTTGTCGAAATACTCATATTCATTGTACATTGGTACGTTACAAGTAAGGCACTGGTCAGTGGCATACTATCATTGGCAGTTCCCAATCTGGAGGGAAAGGTTCAAGTACCAATTGACCGAGTTTGCAAAATAAATTCGTATATCAGGGGAAATCTCTATTGTGGAGAGGTTCAGTAACTTGTTTGTTTCATACGAAACAAGCCAATGGGTGCAGTCTCGTCTCGTGAAAATCTCGTACTTGTATGATGGGATTTGTTTACTCAAGTCTGGGCTGTTTGATTTGTGAGTACCGCCGAGATTGCACTGCCCCAAATAAAGTTTCGTGCCGCCAAAGCAAGAATTACGATCTGCAATCTGTTTGTAGTACCTGTAAGAATGTGGAGTACATGTATCGTACTTTCTCTGCTGCTGTTTCAGTTGCCGTCATGTTGCTAAAGAAAGGTTCAGTAGAGAGGTTCTGCAAAACGAAAATTCGAACGAAGTTTCGCGACAGTCCTTGCGAAAGTGTGTGCGAATTTTTGCACGAACATTGCGTTCTGCACATTTTCGTAGTTTGCGCGGGCCAAGTGTGCACGTACGCCATGACCCGATCTCACGAAATTTCCTACGACAGTTCGTTTCGCGTTCCCTGCAAGTTTCGCGTCCAAAGGTGCGAAGTTTCGCACTTCATGATGTAGAGCGAAAGTTTGTACGCATTTTCGTTTTGCAGAATCTCTCTAGTGACTCGATTGTTTCATACGAGACGAGTCAATGAGTCGGTGTGGCTTAGAATCTTTCGCTGTAGAAGAAATCTATTCGTATGTCTATTGGAGATATAATTGTATTCTCTGGTTATAAAATAGATTAAGCTCACAGAATAAATACCATCGGTCCCTTGGTGTTCGTCCTAAAGAGGTTCGACTGGATATCATTCATACTCACCAAAATATGTGTAAGATTTTATTATTGTGGAGTGCCTTGTTTATCTCTCAGTACCTCCAACCATAGCCTTGCCCCTTTTCTCCTCAGGATCAGTGTAGTTGTTGGAACGAGGTTTTGGACTCAGCAATGTATTCGTTTACATTTTAATACATGTTTATTGTTCCTCCTTTGCTGTGTTGTTTTAGACAATCGTGGACTGACAGTTTGAAGTCATTGAACTACTTCCAAAAGTTGTATCGACATCAACAGGATTACGATTTCAGTTTCAATATGATGCTGGATGACCTTATCACGATAACCCATGACTATAAACCATTATAAACACAGAATCAACAAAAACATCTGCGACACGCACCTGGCGCATGGCTACATTTCTCAAATAAATCTGATTGAGGGTGGAGAAATCTGAAATATCTGAAAGGCAAGACAATTTTATGACAGAGTCATGAAATTCTGCAACAGCAACATGCACAGAATGACCTCCGTATAAAAAAAGTATCACCACCACTGCTCACATGTTTCCCCGCAGAAGACCATGCATTATGCTAGTGCCATTTTCTGCAAGAAAAGGCTTGCACATCAATGCGTATAATATGGTATTGATATGATGTGAAGGCCATCATTTACATATTGATATAGGGCATTCCATTGATTGGTGACAGAAAAAAACAAAAGAAATTATAGCAATAAAAACTGCTTTGTGGCAGTTTTCTAAAAAAAGTTATTGTGTTCTAGTCCATGGACCCCGTCTAAAAAGTAAGAAATTAACGAAATGTGATAGCTGAAAATTAAAATTTCACACAAAACCTCACAATAATCACACACAGAATGAAAAGCTACATGCAGAAGACCTTTTCCCCTCGTGATCCTCTTTCCTATGCATGCATGTTGCCAATTGTTGGTGCAGTACAAGTTTAGTGTTGAAAGCAGCATTTCAAGCGTTGTGGTTATTGTGAGGTTTTGTGTGAAATTTTAATTTTCAGCTATCACATTTCGTTAATTTCTTACTTTTTAGACGGGGTCCATGGACTAGAACACAATAACTTTTTTTAGAAAACTGCCACAAAGCAGTTTTTATTGCTATAATTATTACTAGTATGGCAAAAATGACTTTTAAGCCCATGCCCTTATATTTGAGGGCCTAGGGCTAGGGGTGCGTTAATATTTTTAGAGCATTTCTTCGATGCTGTCCCTGCGATAACACCTTTCATACTTCGTATTTCCAGAATGAGTTTTGTCATTACCGCGTACCGGTACAGTGAATCAGTGATACCGGAAAATGTGAATTGTGTTCAGCTACAAACCCATGCGCTTATATGACCGTACACTATACCAAGAGTACATAACCAGGCTTATGTACTCTTGACTATACTAGTACTAGTATGTGAGGGGTGCGATTATGCGCCTGAATACGGTAATGGTATACATAGCGGGACCAGTTGCACCACGGCACACAGCTGGGGTCACCTTGAGGGCTCTTTCACTTTCATGCACGACCAAAAGGTCACCCGTACAATCGTGGCTATGTTTTTGGCTCCAAGTCAAAAAAAAACAGGGTGTCCAATTGTTCATGGACCTTTTATTTTTACTTCTTTGGGTGGGAGCCTCCTTAACAGGGAAACACTTGTTGAGAGTTCAAAGCTTAACCTTCCTTGTATGGCCTCTCTGTATTGTACTTGGCTGAAAAAGTTCCTACTTCGGACGCCATGTACTCGAGATTATTGGACAAGTTCAGGAGTACGAGTGGACTTGGCAAAAAGCTGACTGTGCGGTTTCTAGTCCTACTTGTAGTCACTCGATTACTTATAGACTTGCTGTTGCGCTTCAGAGTTTTAGATGTTGCAGAGGAAAAGCAAAGTATAGAAGATCGACTTGAGTGCTGAAAGATTCGTGACTTTAGACGACTGGCGACTGCCAGGCGTAGTTTCGTTCAGTGAGATCCCAGTCTTAACTGGTGAAGAGGAGGGAGGGTACGTAACCCATTCACCCAGGAAAATTTACTTCCGTAAATGAATAAAAGCTTCCGCCTCTTATAGCAGTTGGTGGCGAGCGCGAGTGAATAATTATTTGCTCGAAGTGGCACAGTCGTCAACCAGTTCAACGAGTGTGTGGCACTGGAGTGCCGGATGAAATGGCCATGTATACCGATAATTCCCTGAAATCACTCCCTGGCCGTTGCCCAAGGCGACTACTTCCAGTGATTGTCCTTCTCGTCACACTAACGGCTGTACAGTCTTCACATTCCGTGGATTATGATCAAGAATTAGCTTCTGGCCATGAGCGCCTTCAACAACTTGCACACCGCTATGAGACAGTACATGTTGACACGGCTCACCACCTGCACGGAGTTCGGAAACGTCGAGCGACTCAAGGAGACGACACCTATAGCCACCCACCTTCCACCAACTTTGACATCCAGGCCTTTGGGCAGACATTTCGCCTGCAGCTGGAGTTAAACACTATGCTGTTACCGGTTGGCACACAAGTACGCTACTACAAAGAGAATGGAGAGCTTGTTGTGGATCATGATGCTGTCAACTGCTATTACCAGGGTGAGACGGATGGATTTAGTCATGGAGCAAGTCATGCTGTAATCAATACATGCAATGGAATTTCTGGATCATTTGGTGTAGGACCAGCTGGTCACTGGACAATGGAGAGGACCTTTTTCATTGAACCGCTGACCAAGGAACCCACTCCCAATGGCACCCACCTTCATGCAGTTTACAAAGCGGGTGACTCGAAAGAAAAACATCACTTCGGGAGTTGTGGTGTATCAACTAACAAAAGCCAAGACCATGCATCACCACTAAACCTAGCACAGGGCATTTTGAATGTGGACAAGGACACCGTGCACATTCACCAACGCACTAAACGCCAGGCATCCTCATCGGTCACACGCTATGTGGAGTTACTACTGGTGCTGGACGCAACACTCTTCCGGAGTACAAGAGTAAATAAGGATATGACCGTTGCTACAAACCGTGCTCGTTCTGTTGCCAATTTTGTCGACTCGATCTACAGAAAACTGAATATTCGTGTGCCACTGGTAGCTGTGGAGGTTTTCAACAGAAGAGATCTCTTTGCCACGTCAAGCAACTTCAGCAGGACGCTGCACAATTTCAAATTGTTTAGGAACAAGAACCTTGTGGGTCGTATTCACCATGACAATGCCCAACTCATGACTGGACATAACTTTATTGGTGATACCGTTGGCTACGCATCGGTCAGCGGAATGTGCTCAACAAGATCTGTAGGTGTCAACCAAGACACAGCGTCAGCTTTCTCAATGGTAGCAGGTACAATGGCACACGAAATGGGTCACAATCTTGGAATGAAACATGATAATCGTGGCTGTGATTGCACAGCCACATTTCAGAAAGGTGGTTGTATAATGGCTGGAATGGGCTCTCCTTATGCTGCACCGCAGACGTGGTCCAGCTGCAGCCGCTCTGATCTCAGCACATTTCTATCACATGGTGCTGGTCACTGCCTTAGCAACCAGCCAACAACACTATTTGGTGACCCGGTATGCGGCAATGGTTTTGTGGAGGGCACTGAGCAATGTGATTGTGGTACAGCAGCACAGTGCACAACAACATGTTGTAATCCAGCTACATGTCGTTTCACCACCGGTTCTCAATGCAGCGATGGTCCATGCTGTCAAAACTGCCATTATCGGACTCCGGGTACACTCTGCCGCTCTGCTGTGAACAGCTGTGACGTAGCTGAGACATGTTCAGGCCGGACACACACTTGTCCCAATGATATCTTTAAGCAGAACGGCCAAACTTGTGACTCGGATTCATCATTTTGCTACGATGGACAATGTAACACTCAGGATGCTCAGTGCAAGGAAATATGGGGAACGTCTGGAGTTGTTGCTCATCAGAGCTGCTATGATCTAAACACTAAGGGCACCAACGTAGGCAACTGTGGTTCTACTGGGAAAACACACAAAGGCTGCAAGTTACCTGATATTCGTTGTGGTCGCCTTCAATGCGAAGGAGGAAACAAGCTACCGGATATGCATGGTATACGTTATTTCACTCAACCTCTTTATGTCATAGAAAAAGGCAGGTGGAAAATAACCAATTGCAAAACAATCACAATAATGCAAACTTCGGACGCAGTTGAGCAGTCCATGTTAGCGGTCGACGGTTCTCCATGTGGATCAAGCTCGCTTTGTGTCAGCTCACGTTGCAGATCGATAAGTTCACTTGGCATTACACCATGTCCATCAAGTCGTGGCAGGGTGTGTGCAGGAAATGGTGTGTGCACAACTCTCAACTCATGCTTGTGTAACCGTGGCTGGACAGGTGCTGACTGCTCACGTGCAACTAGTGGTGCTGTTAATGGTCGGTGGGGTCCTTGGACAGTGTGGTCAGGCTGCTCCCAATCCTGTGGTACACGTGGTGTAAGGACACGCACTCGGGACTGTGATAATCCTCCGCCAAGTAATGGTGGTACGGTATGCCGTGGTGCAACTAGTGACAGGGAAACATGCAACCGCGTTCAATGTGCCACACCTGTCAATGGCAACTGGGCAAAATGGAGTGCATGGTCTAGATGTTCGGCTACATGCGGAGCTGGAACTCGTTCTCGTCAACGTACATGCAACAACCCATCACCATCCAATGGTGGATCACGATGTCCTGGTACTGGAACCACGAGGGAAAGATGTGAAACACAAGCTTGTCCCGTGGATGGTGGGTGGAGTCCTTGGACAGTGCGGACGCAATGCTCCCAGACCTGTGGCACAGGTGGTGTAAAGACACTAACTCGGACCTGTAACAATCCTACGCCAAGTAATGGTGGCAAACCATGTCATGGCATACCTAGCAACCGGCAACCATGCAACCGTGTTCCATGTCCCACTGCACCGGCCGTCAATGGCAACTGGGCAAAATGGAGTGCATGGTCTAGATGTTCGGCTACATGCGGAGCTGGAACTCGTTCTCGTCAACGTACATGCAACAACCCATCACCATCCAATGGTGGATCACGATGTCCTGGTACTGGAACCACGAGGGAAAGATGTGAAACACAAGCTTGTCCCGTGGATGGTGGGTGGAGTCCTTGGACAGTGCGGACGCAATGCTCCCAGACCTGTGGCACAGGTGGTGTAAAGACACTAACTCGGACCTGTAACAATCCTACGCCAAGTAATGGTGGCAAACCATGTCATGGCATACCTAGCAACCGGCAACCATGCAACCGTGTTCCATGTCCCACTGCACCGGCCGTCAATGGCAACTGGTCAGACTGGGCATTATCCGAGTGCTCACATACATGCGGAGGTGGAACTCATGTCCTTGAACGCACATGCAGCAACCCTGAACCATCCAATGGCGGCAAGACTTGCAGAACTGATGGGGTCAGTGTTGAAAGCTGGCAACTACCATGCAACACCTATTCTTGCGCCAACTGAGACAGGTTCTGGGTCAGCCTTCTCCGAATCTTGCCACGGGCGGCTGAATCGAACTTGTCATGAGGCATAGTCAACAGTGTTCTTTGTAGTATTTCCTGTTCTGTGTGTGTTGCCACCTATTCCTAGAGACATCCAACACCCCCAGGTTATGGGCGGAAATGGTGAATGTTTCTTGTCAGTAGATGGCACATTACCAGCGTATCCTGTGTAACTGACTTTTCCCATCTGTGTATGTGTGTTACGTAGTCCTGGCTGAGCAATGACGGTGGCATTGGAACTGTGGAGTTCAACGGGTCGTAGACCTAGTCCGCGATATTCCGTATTCAAGTTGAATGAATGCACTTACCAGGGATCAAACAGATCTCAAGCTGATGTTTGCAATATCAGTGAATGTTCAGATTAGCATCCTGTGTGCTACCGACATGTCATCACTTCCAGAACTCTTTATATTATCTATCTGAATTGGCGAAGTCGTCCGTTTGTTTTTGTTTTCGTGTTAAACTGTTTGTTTTCAGGAATATTATGCTCAATACATTATAATAGAAATTGAACCGTTTGCCTATTTTCGTCCCTGCTGCTGGGGAGTACATGTATACCTATCCAATCCACCTAGCATGGTCCCCACCCCATGGCTTTGGTATCAGAATTGCACCCACCAGCAATTAATTATGCAGCATCAAAATTCCGGCAGGGAGCGGCAGCTGATCAGCACCTGCAGATATTGTCCTATCCGGAGTTAAAGGCTTTACGTGACCACAATACGGTAATAAAAAAAGCGGAAAGGATCGCTTTTCTAAATAACCCAGTGGGGGTTTCCGGTTATAGACTCTTTGGCAATACTGATTTCGCCGCTGGGTACCAACCGGATAAAGTACTGTAAAACATGTAATTTTAGCTGCATTAAAATTTCGGTGCCAGGGACCTGCCAGGTTTTAGGTGTAATTTAGAATTAGGTGACCAGCATTCCCTTCACATACAGTGCATACTCTAGTGCCTTTTAGGCGTAGTTTAAATTTAGGTGCCTGGTTTCTCTACCGAAATCACCGAAATTAAAGTTACACCGAAAATTGCATGTTTTACAGTAAATCGCCGGCCAAAGTTTGTCATAGAGGCAAATGATGCATGGATGCATGTGGGAGCACCAACTACTGATCAATTTCTTTTTTGAAAACCCTAATCGGCCAAAGTTTGATGACAGCCAAAAGTTTCATTTCGATATCGGCCAAAGTTTCTCACCGACCACAAATGGTTGATTTACAGTAGACGGTCTTTAATACGGGGTTATGTACTCTTGGTGATACCAAGAGTGTAATTAATTACTACAAGCTTATTTACTCCGCTGGGAAGACGACTAAGTTACCGGTACATGTACTAGTACACCATAGTTTACAAAATTGTAGTGGTTAGAGCGTCGCTGGCCAAGTCAGGGCTCCTGGGTCGAGTCCCGGTGGTGACAGTCAATTTTTTCTTCAGACTTTTCCCGTTTGCGTCTTACCCTTAAACCAGTGAATTATCAATTTTACTCTTGGTATACACGTACACGTAGGATTTTCACGTGACGACAACTTGAAAAGTCCATCTACAAAATAAGTAAGTGATCTTGATCACGAAGACCAGTCAAAACGTGCACCGGTTAGCAACATAATTATTGCTTTTGGGTCATTTTCATAAGGCCATCATTTTTTATAGCTATGTTTCGCGTCGTCCGCACGCATACGTTTTGATTTTTTTCGGAAAAAAATAAAAAATCGAACATGCACAGTGAGTGTACGATCGTGCGATTCATCAGTGTGGACAGGTTGCATACGGCGAAGCTGGGATTCAGAAATGGCCTCTAGCCTAGGCCAGCGTTGGTAAATCGTTTGTTCGGCATCTGGGAGCAATATTCTATGAGCTTACACCAGACCGCATTGATCGCCTAAGCTGAGAGGATGCGTCGTTCCGGAGCTCTTTGCACCGCTGCTGAAGTCTGAGTACAATATTCCAGCGAAGCATAGGCACCATGAACAACGGTTGCCTCCTCTGCCCAAAGTGAATATTTACTCATGCTGATAACCCAGATGTTGTGCTTCGATGTACGATTTTTCTTTCGAATGTACACCATGCACGAGCTATTGCGCTATGTACAGTGCATACATACACCTCTGATGAGCCTTTTTTTATTATTTTGCAACTTTTTATTTTTTTTCCACCTCTCGCATAATGAATCTGGAAGTTGAACTGACGCGAAACATAGATATAAAAAATGATGGCCTAATAAATAATACCGGTAAGTATGAAATACTGGCAAGTGTTGAAGTGCCAATGGTATTGACATTCGACGACCTGACGTTTGGCTCCACCTCGTTTCCGGGAAGGGTCTTAGTTATGATAAAGCCGGAGAGCGGAAAGTGAGCGCAGTCAAGGCCAGAGTCAGATAAACGTCACAGCGAACTAAGAATTTTGGCTCTGACAAGATGATCACGACGATAGACAGAAGGACGAAGGCACAGGTAACCTTCTTTACTGAAGTTGGAAGGCTGACGACTAACGCGTACCTTATTGGAAAGGCTTCCTGTCTGAAGCCTTTCCCTAGTATACTGTACTGGTAGTGGTACATGGTACTCGATGTTCCAGTTTTGTGACACGAGAATGGCACGTGTACCGCTATACACGTGGTCGAGACGTTGTCGACACTTTGTTGATACTTTGTTGACACGTGACCCCGTCAGCGGTACGGTCTGCTTTGTGCCAATATAATGCCACTCGGTTAAACGTCGATGTCGCGTATACGAGAAAGCCATCGCGCGACGACTTTTAAAGGGGAACTCCACGAAAAAATGAAACTTTGATAGCCTGTAGAGTTTCGGGCGCTGAGTCGAATGGTCTTGGTCCGAAGCCTCTACGACGAAGCGTTCTTGAGATATTTCACTTTGAAATTGCAAAACGGGGGCCGCGCCCTGACGTCATGCGGCCATTTGGTTACATCATCACGGGCTGCCTACGTCATTGTGGCAAAGTCGTTTCTCTTCGCCAATCTACAAGCACTAATTTTAGTTGGTATTTCAAGGGAAGATGGGCGATTCCGAACAATCCTCTGTCCCCAGCAATGAAGGCGGCGATGCTGAGGCCAGTGAGGACGACCAACAGCCCACCGCCGCGTATGGTTGGGGCAGGGAGCCCAGATACTCTGCTGAGGAGCTGCCATCGCAGTCCATGCGCCAAGACCGAAAAAGTCGTCTAAAAGTTGTACTTTTTTATGCAGATTAGCCACTTTTCCGAGCTGAATATATTCAAATCTTCGTCGAAAAATTGTCAAGAAAATGTTAGATGTCTCGAGTCGTTTGCAATTTTCTCTCCATCAGTGCTTGTTTGCGGAAGTTTTGCTTTCCGGACACCTTGATTGGGCCTTTGACCTTATGGATGTCAGTTGTAGTGGTCGTTACTCATTGTCTCGACGTCGCTGGGAGTGTTCTTGTGGGAGCTGTCAAATATTCGTAAAAATCAGGCAAGTGGCAAAGAAAAATTCGCCAAATTTTTGGGCAAGATAGTATGTAGACATCGATGCTTTCCTTTGACTCTCCACCGTTGTGGAAACACTTCCAGAAGCGTTCATCGGTGTCCGGTTCTTGATGGGGTCGTGGTGGCCTCCTCGGTTTGGAACAAAACAAAATCAATGCATTGTCTGTTGTCACCAGTGGGAGACGTATTACATGGCAAAGAAACGCACCAGCACCCGTATTCACTCTTGAGGGGCTTGAGATAGAAGCCCACATCATCTTCGTTCAAATGACAAAGTTCTAACCAGGGTCTGCAGACCGTAATTTCAATGTCATTTTTTGGTCCCTTAAAAAATGGCCTAGCCAACAGCCTGTATGTAGTTTATGAAGCATTGGCGTGTTCTTCGGGTTTGCAATCATGTTATATTACTCATGACCTTCTCTTGTAAGATTCGTGCGAAACTGAAAGTTGTAATGTACTCTCAGGACAGCTTGAAGTAGGTTTCAATTCTCGGTGAAGGGCAAAGGTCTTAAACCGTCATTGTGAATGTCAATGGGAATATGATCCAAGAGTCCACAACCCCAAGGGAAATGTATGATGGACTCTTAGTATGATCTGTGCGCAAAGAACTGCAGTTGAGTCATTGTTTTAGCAATATGTGTGCGTTCTGAGTTTTAGCACATTCTTAGACTCTTATTGTGCTGGAGTGTGCACTTTATAACACGTGTACATGTATAACAAAAGCTGAATTATACAACGGTAGAAAATGATATGCCCCGTTCTCAGCTTTGGTTTCTGGCGTTCTTTTAATTATTAGTATTTCAGGCTGCGTGTTCTTGGGCTCCGTGTTCTTTAAAGGGGAAGTATACCCTAAAATCAAATTTTCACCAGTTGTAGTCTTCGGGGTGCTGAGTCGAATGGTTCTTGGCCCGAGGAAGCTGAGACACTCCCTTCCTCCTTTATTCCCAATCGAACTCGCGCACTTCCACCGAAACTGGGTGACTGCGCCCTACTAGATAGGGATTTGTATGGAAAAATCACTAAAAACGCCGTTTCGTTCTTATAAAAGTGCGGATGACCGCGATTGGTGTAGTCTTTTGGCCGCTGAGTCGACTGGTTTTGGTCCGAAAAGGCTGCGATGCAGCGTTCGGCCCTTATTCCCAATCGAACACGGTTGAGTAAGCGGTCACGTGCTCACTTACAGCCTGTTTGGGCCCGTTTATGTCACTCGAGTTGAACCTTTGAACCAGGGAGTCGCAAAAGCCTCTTACGACTCCCTGCTTTGAACCTTTGAGTTGAACCTTGATGTGAAAATTGTAGCCTGCAGGCACGGTGACCAGGCGGCTGGTGTACGCATGACCACGTGACCGCTTACTCAACCGTGTTCGATTGGGAATAAGGGCCAAACGCTGCATCGCAGCCTTTCTGGACCAAAACCAGTCGACCCAGCGGCCAAAAGACTACACCAATCGCGGTCATCCGCACTTTTATAAGAACGAAACGGCGTTTTTAGTGATTTTTCCATACAAATCCCTATCTAGTAGGGCACAGGCACCCAGTTTCGGTGGAAGTGCGCGAGTTCGATTGGGAATAAAGGAGGAAAAGAGTGTCTCAGTGTCCTCGGACCAAGACCATTCGACTCAGCACCCCGAAGATTACAACTGGTGAAAATTTGATTTTAGGGTATACTTCCCCTTTAAGCCTAAAATCAATTTTTCACCAGTTGTAGTCTTCGAGGTGCTGAGTCCAATGGTCTTGGTCCGAGGAAGCTCAGACGCTCCCTTCCTCCTTTATTCCCAATCGAACTCGCGCACTTCTACCGAAACTGGGTGACTGCGCCCTACTAGATGGGGATTTGTATGCGAAATGTCACTAAAAGCGCCATTTCGTTCTTATAAAAGCACGACGGACCGTGATTGGCCCATATGTTGTAGACTGGTTTTGGTCCGAAGGCAGCGATGTTGCGTTCCTCCTTTATTCCCAATCGAACATGGCTGAACAAGCGGTCACGTGCTTGTGCGTACACCAGTCACCGCGCCAGCAGGCAACAATTTTCACACCAAGGTTCAACTCAAAGGTTCAACTCGAGTGACAGAAACTCGCTCAAACATGCTGTAAGTTGTAGCCTGCAGGCATGGTGACCAAGTGACTGGTGTACGCACGAGCACGTGACCACTTGTTCAGCCATGTTCGATTGGGAATAAAGGAGGAACGCTGCATCGCAGCCTTTTCGGACCAAAACCAGTCGACTCAGCATCCAAAAGACTACAACATATGAGCCAATCACGGTCCGTCGTGCTTTTATAAGAACGAAATGGCGCTTTTAGTGACATTTCGCATACAAATCCCCATCTAGTAGGGCGCAGTCACCCATTTTCGGTGGAAGTGCGCGAGTTCGATTGGGAATAAAGAAGGAAGGGAGCGTCTCAGCTTCCTCGGACCAAGACCATTCGACTCAGCACCCCGAAGACTACAACTGGTGAACATTTTGATTTTTGCCTTAACTTCCCCTTTGACGTGGCTCTACTGTACGTGTACCGTAAAGTACCGTTGATCCGCCCCCACGCCATGTCGCTTCCCAGCTGGGTTTTCGGCAGGGGGCGGGAATTAGATCAAGGCTGTCAAGTGCAGTACGATGTACAAAACGTAGAAGTTCAGACTCGATGCGCTGGATTGTGCACATTTTGATCCTGGATTGGCAAGTATTGTGTACAGCAGTGCATGCGTCGGCTCAACATCGTATTTCGTTGTATACGCCGAAGTCGCTTCACAAGGAGAACATCGACAGGGGGCGGGAATTAGAGAGGGGGCGGATCAACGGTACTTTACGGTACATGTAATGTAAAGAACTTGGTGTGCCCCCCCCCCCCCCCCGTCAATTTCTACCTGTAAACAACTTGAGCACATACACCGGAATACAGCGCTGAACCAATACAATTATCACGACTATGCACATGGACCACATGATAGTACATTCGAGCGCAGGTATTCCGGGGAGGGGGGGGGGGGGACTTTACATTATTTCACTTCCAAACACATTGCACGTTACGTGCGATTTCGATTCCTTCACTGTAGATCTACATAAGAAAAGGAACAAAACAGCCGAGCTGCAGCATGCATTCTTGATCAATAATCTGGCACACCCTGGTTTCAGTCAACCACATGGTAGCAGCTAAAAGTGCTTATAGCTGAGACACAGGCAGGAAGTGCTATACAGTCAACTTCGCTAATAACGACTGCGGATATAACGACAATTCGCGAATAACGACAGAATTTCTATGCCCAGAGCAAAGTCCCATCCAACTGTAATACATATAATGAGACTTTGGGTATAACGACACTTTGTGAATAAGGACACTTTTCTTATGCCCCGCCGAGTGTCGTTATAAGCGAAGTTGACTGTATGTGTGCTTTCTTTTCCATCTCCTTCACAATGAGGAAACTCAATACAAGTGCAGACTGCCTCTTTTACGGCCAAAGAAACACAGTGTATGGTAAAGAAAGTGTCCTGAGGCCGAGAAAAGGAAATAGCTAAGTAATAGGAATGGTAAAGCTACTATAAAAAAAAGACTGAAACCGAACCCTTTAAACAACTTCCAGCTAGTATGTGACATACAAGTCAGTTAGGTTCAACACTATGCCAGTGGATGACAGGGCGGTGCCCAACTCCGATGCCAGCCAGCCACGTCATGGACAGACGCACCAATGAGATGATGGTTAGGGATAGTCAGAGGCGAAAGTTAACCACAACTTGGAAGAACGGAGAAATTGTGTACAGCTACAAACAGGATCCGGGAACACAAGCTTTCGGTCAAAGGGAATGAATTCTACACGAGCATCTTGAGAAAAGCACTTGTGTCATTCCTCATACTTCACAGTCTAGCCAGCACCAGCATTTACACACTGAATGTCGGCATAAGATAGAGTGACCAAATTAAGACAACATCACCAGGCCTGGCCATCAAACAGAAGACTGTTGTCGAGAGCCACCTGGATCTGTATGCAGTGACCATGACCATGATACTCGATAGGCACTTGGATACCCATATGTGCACAGAATATGATTGGAAAAACCTCAACCAAGACAGCGGCACTGAAAATCTGTCTCCAGTGGCTTGTTCAAACACGGCTACGAATCCCACCAGACCAAACTTACACAATCCACTACAAACGAGCTGTAAATGGTCAGCGTGCTGTGTTCGAAACGCTCGACCACGTTCCTCGGCAAAGGACACCACGGGTGTGCACGTACTCTTAACCAGTTCAGCCGTGCATGGGATGTGACAGTATTGCCTGTGACCGAACAGCTTGAAAAAGAACGAGACAATCCCTCTAGTCACTGCATATGGCCCATTTCACAAGGCATATCCTTGGCCTGAGAGTACACCATGACGATTGTTCCTTCATTTCTCTGACCAGTTGGGCCCACACTTGAGGTCCATAATCAAGATGGAGAGCAGCCAGCTTGCTCTATGAACGCATGCGACAATATTCAGTAGACGGCATAATCCTGACTCCTGCATGGACAAAAACAAAATGAAAAGCCACACCAAGTCATAAGCATCGTGATTAGTATACATGTAAACTACTACAATGTATTCTGAATGCAATTGAACCTCGGAACATAAGCCATACCCCTGGCAACTGCATACTCTCGGTGGAAACTAATTCAAACTATTACTTCACAAAACGGGGTTTCCAGTACGTTTTGAACTTAACATCCCTAACGAGTAATCTATAATGTAACGATTATGAAGTTGATTGTGAGGAGTTATTGATTAATGACCGAGTAGTCGGTATAATCGTTTCAGCCCTACTTGTACTTCATAGGTCAACCCAATCCCACGGGCCACGACACGCTGATACCACCATAATTATGCCATTTTTACAGGGTTTAATGCACAGCTTCCACATTTCATACTGGTAACACAACTACAAGCACATGCGCGCACCTCTATGTGAGACTAATCGACCTGCAAAAGTTACAAATACGGCAAAAGCGTGTGTATGCGCATGGGCCATTACGATATGGTCCTCTTGTCAGGGTCTGTTCACTGTTATGCTGTCCTTTTTTTTCTTGGCTTACGGGGCAGGAATGTCCCCGTTGTGTTGGTGATGTGCAAGCGGCGTGGGCCGGCTAAGAGTGCAGTGTGGAATGGTGGAGCGAGTTAATTCACCGAGAAACGATGAAGGTAATAATTGCGCCTGCCAAACACCATGAGACTCCAGAATATGTGTTTGTCTATGGAGTAAATAAGAGTGCATACATACTTATTTAATTCTACACACATTCCCATGACTACCATGCATGAACTGCGAAATCGGGTGAAGTGCCTCAATGGACATCGCTCTGAACTACAATTTTGACCCTCGTTTGCACCTGATCTGAGAACGCGATCAGCCTTTTGAAGTGTATCTGTTCACATTCAAAACACCTATTAATATTTGTAACATCGTAGATAATTGTTCTCAAGTTTACGAGAAGAAAATCAGAAATCCATCAGCCATACTAGTTTTCGTGGTTCTCGTGCATTGGCAACTAGGGTATTAGGAAAAATTCGCCAAATTTTTGGGCAAGTTACTACAGGTGGACTCCCTTTAATTCGAACCTCAAATTGCCAGGCCCTAACTTCGAATTATCCAGAACTTCTAATTATCCAAATGCAGCCCCATGCACTGATATGTATGTCAAAATGCTTGAAATCGCATGCTGAATATTTTTTGCACATTTTTATTTGCATCAACGAAACATAGGTGGTCAAACCGGTCTTGTACAACGGATCATCAAAACACTGGATCGACACAAAATCATTTTGACATTATCTTCATCTTCTAGTGAAGAAGTAAGTTGTCAGTCACTGCAGCTTTCCTGAAACAATTTCAACGGAAAAGAACTGCGCTGCCTAATCCGCGTCATGAACTTTGAAGGCCGTCGAAAAGCAGCACGTCGTTCTGAAGAACGGAAGTGGAGCATAGGCATCGACAATATTTACGACAATAGTGTTGTTGTTCGCCAACATCCCCGCGCACGAGCTGGCGCGGCAAGAAAGGCCATCGAGATCCGCGAAGAGAGTCAGCCACCTGGAAGAAGTCGTCTTCAATCAAACCTTTGCAATTTGCCTAGCACGGGCTTGAATCAAATTTCGAGAGAAGGTGGGTTTCTTGAACGCTATAGTCGATCCTGCAGCGGACCATCAATCGATTTTTGAGCTACTCTTGGCTAGAGAAGAAGAAAAGAATGAACTTCGAATTACAAGGATAGCAACTCAATCTCACTTCGAAATAAGCGTTCAAAGGACATAGTCAATGTACTGTAAACAGCTCTTCTGTACGAAGACTGGGTTCGAATTATCCAACCGGCGCACTTTTCGTACTTCGAATTATGCATTCGATTTTGACTTGAAGTGACTTGCAGAAGATCGGTACGACGAAAAAGTTCGAATTACACGGAATGTTCGAATTAAACCGTATTCGAATTAGAGGGAGTCTACCTGTATCAAGACAATTTTTGCTTTATGAGCAGCCTAGGACAATGGACTATACATACCTGAGGTCTGGGTGGTGTCCGGTAGTTCTTTTTTGGTTCTCACGCCATCAAGTATTTCGGCATCCAAAAATCATAAATTCTGGAGGACGCAAAATTGAGAAAAGTGGCTCTCCTGCAACATGACGGAAAAATCTCTGGCGTTCCGGCTTCCAGATTTTGTTTAGGGACTATCCTAGCCCTCAGCAGGCCAAGTTACAACAGCATTCATGAAAGTCTTCCATGCCAAATCGAAGACGATCAAAATGGTGATTCTGCTCAAAATTGGTCACAGAAAAAGTCGAAAAAAGCGGCGTCGTCATCTTCATTTTGCATAAAGATTCGGGTGATTTTTGGCCCTTGGCGCATGGACTGATCGCGTGTAACAAATGTTGAGGAAGAAGATGCTTCAGCAGCTGCGTCCGACAGAAGACGAGTAGCTTGGCCACCAGAATCTCGATTCGTTTGGGACTCCGACTGGTGCGAGCGTGGACAAAAGTGTATAGCCATGCCCAGCCTGCGGGAATGATTTTGCTGGTAGGATGCTGCCGTCGTTGTCGACAAGACGGCCCAAGGTTTCTTGCGTAGCGGACCTCGCAGATTACGAGATCGTATCCTTGCATTTGGCTGTGCCCATCACTGCTCTTCGAGGTTATCTCGACATGCAGAAGCCGCCAATGCCAGTGACAGAAGAGTCTGACATTAGGTAAGCCTCAATTAGTTTGCCTTGACTTGTCTTGTGAGGAGCGCGTATCAGCATGATACACTTATTCTTATTTTTTTGGGGAAATTTATTGTTGTCAGGCGCACTACAGCAGGCGTCGCACAAGAAAGAAATTGTACTGGTAGTTATCACAAGTTTCATGCATGACACAAACAAATTTCTCTTTGCTCCGAGTATGTCTTGACTTATCTTGTGAGGATCGATGCGCGTAATGTTTTGTGTGTAACTTATTGTTGTCAGGCATCAGAGCACGAACAACGTTGTTCTGTACTATATATAGTGCTATCACAAGTTTTCATGCATGACTCACATTTGTCTTTGTCATTTTCCCTTGGATTGGTACGAGATCTACAAAGTATGGTAGGTAGTGTTCTGTTGGTGAAGAGAGCACTGCACACAGTTTATGAGCACCATGCGTGCATTTGATCACACCCGAACCCATACTTTATCGTTTCAAGCGATAGACTTTGTCAATAAACTCGTTTTCTAGTATACCATGGCATGCAACGTACAAGCGTGGGGTCAAGAAAGTGTACACCAAAATAATGCACAAATTCTGGCAGGAGAGTAAGAAATCTGTACTTTCTGACCAAGACATCTCTGTACTAGTAGGTAATCGAACGCGTCCTAATCAGTATTCATCCCCCAGATCATTGGAATTCAATTTGAAATCAGCAATTATGGTAAATTCTACAAGACCCTCCATCTTTGTACCAGTGGACACTAAATTAGTATGGCGCGCGCACTGAAAGTGCAGGTAGCTACCGGTAGGTGCAATACAGCGCATATGTAGAGTAAATGAGTATTTTACTATAATAATTATTACGGTACAGCAATGTGGTATGTGTACAAGCACGAAGCACTCATCATACACATTCCATATGACATTCTGTGTTTGTGTAGATCTCTACGCTATGCGGCACACAGGCAGTACACACTATGTACACGGCAAATTGGGCAAGCACGTTCGTTGTCGTCTTCCAGCCTGCGTTGTGAATACCATCAGGCAAAGATATCCAAATTCTGCACCACCTCAGCCTTCTCAGGAGGCTTCCACCTGGAATTTGGCAGGGAAACTCGCTTCTCCAAGGCAGGAACATCGAGGTTGCCATTTGCAACCGCTACCACCTCACACATGAGCTTGTCAACATACTCATAGCTCTTTTTGTCGTATAATTTCTATTTGGCCAGTCTTCTTTAGGGGCCGTCCAAGGTTACCAATAATATTTTCAAAACGAAATGTTTTCGTTTGTGGGTGGGTGGGTTTGACGGAGTTTCGTTTTGAAAATAATTATTGGTCTTTTTGGTTGTGCTGTGGCGACGGTTGACATTGACGTCGTCAAGAGCTGCGAGATGTGCGTGTCCAATCATCCCCAGAATTGAGAAACGAATGCGTTTGAGAATGTAGTTTGGCAGGACACTGTGATATACCTACCTGCATGGCAAAAAGAATGTGGAGAAAACACACTTGCTTAGACAATATACTGCTGTATGAGAAAATGGAAACTTCACCGTACAGGACGACTCTTGTTCTCAATTGCATTGTTCGTTTCATTCCCTGTGTTGCCCATAAGAGACGGGAGCAAAAATGTTCAGCAGATGTTTGTTGTCTTCTGGCGTGGAGTGGCGGCATCATTAGATGTACACATTGTCATTTCACTAAGTACACCACTACTACAGCATATGTACTATCCTTAGGCTAGCGTGCGTGGGAGTGAGTTTGAGTATGTGGGTGCGTATGTGTGTGTGTTGTTGTGTTTGTGTGTGTGCACGCACACGCGCGCGCGCATGTGGGCGAAGGTGTGAGTGCATGTGTATAATATGTGTAGTTCCCACTGTATTCCTTGCACAATAGGTCTTCACTTACTTTTCTTTCGCATACAACCAGAACCCATTCCTTGTTCGAAATTGGATTTTTTTTGGCCTGGTGATCCCGCAAGCGTGGAACTCGGAGTGTAATAATTTTTTGTTTCACTTTGCTTGCACTATTCCTAGGCTGTCCAGAATTCTAACAACTGCTCTGAGTGATATGGTATTCATGCAACCATGCCTAGAAGTAGGGTAGCTGTTATAAATAGAGACATATCCACGCAATCAACTTACACTGGTCCAGTTTGGCAGGATTGGTGAGACAGTTCGTCGTGCATGCTGCCTGCACATCGCAAGCAAACAGTTCTGTAACCTTCGCACTTGTTGGGGGTCTGTCTGTTTGCGTCCCAGTTGATGACAGATGTGCACAGTTTGAGTACTGGTATGCGCAAAGTTACTGGGGTAATATCGTTCATCAGCTAGCTGCAGTCGGAGTTGATGGTGTGATGTACTCTTCTGATCCTGATGGGACGTATCTCGCCCTGCTTTCTCAGTTGCAGCTTGTTGAGTTCGCTTTGCTGCAGGCTCACGGTTCGGAGGGCACTGGTACACTGATGAGGGCTTTCCTGGACGGCGTACTCGTCAAAACTCAGCTCTCAAGTCCCTCTGGATCATAAATGCAGCGAGCAAACATAGCTCGTGCTGCGAAAATAGGCTTGAAATTTTCACGACGCATTGCAACATCTCGGCGCTTTGCCAGGTCTCCATCCTTTGGGAATCTGAGAAAACTAACCCCAGGAGGATGATGTGATACTGGCACAATCAACAACACAACAATTTGGCATTGCAGCGGCTCAGGCGACTTGGCAAACTACTTTCTGAAGTGACTTTCGTCGTGAAGAAAGTGAGATTCAAAATCCAAGTATTTTCGCACCATGCCACAATGACGTCACACATACATTGGTATGGGGCGTGGCTAAAATTGAAATATCTCAAGAACGCTTTCTCGTAGAGACTTCGGACCAAGACCATTCGACTCAGCGCCCGAAACTCTACAGGCTATCAAATTTTCATTTTTTCGTGGAGTTCCCCTTTAAGTCTTTCCCGTACGCGAAATAGTTGAGAACTGCATGCAGAAGTCGACGAAGACGAACGAGGAGGCCCCTTTCGGTACCCCTGACGGGAAGGAGAACTGCAGAAGTCGACGAAGTCGAACGAGGAGGCCCCTTTCCGTACCCTGTACCGCAAAGTGCAATTGATGAATGTCTTCTGCACCTGGAACGCCCCCGTAAACGCTGTCGCGTAGCTACGTAGCTAGGCGGACTGAATGCGCAGGGCAAAAAGAATTGCTGCAAAGACGTCCGCTCTAGGCCTTTGGAGACATCATGCGTGGGAACTCCTTCCGGCACCCCCGTACCGCAAAGTGCCATTGATGATCGATGAATGTCTTCTGCAAGTGGAACGACCCCGTAAACGCTGTCGCGTCGGCGGGCTGAATGCGCAGGACGAAAAATATTGCTGCAGAGACGTCCGTTCTAGGCCTTTGGTCGAGTTTGGAGACATGGTGCGAACTCCTTCCGGTACCCCCGTACCGCAAAGTGCCATTGATAAATGTCTTCTGCAACTGGAACGGCCCCGTTAACGCTGTCCCGTCCGCCGACGAAAAATATTGCTGCAAAGACGTCCGCTCTAGACCTTTGGAGGCATCGTGCGAACTCCTTGAGAATGCACTGACCTGACGCCGTGACGGGGAGGAGAACGGCAGAAGTGGGCGCAGACGAACGAGGAGGAATCAGGACGAGCGAGCAATGGCAGGACTGTAAGTAATAGCTCAATTAGAAATGAGAACTTGACATTCATGGCACTTGCCACTGCATACTTATTGTCCACTCACAATGTCTTTCCTCTGCCCCTGTGTGCCCACGGCCCTGTTGCTGCACTGGCCCGATGAATCGAATGTCTTCTGCAACTGGAACGGCCCCGTAAACTCTGTCGCGTCGGCGGACTGAATGCGCAGGACGAAAAACATTGCTGCGAAGACGTCCCCTCTAGACGACGGTAAGGCATCCCTTGATATGTTGCCAGTGTGTGCCATGGTATCGCGTGATGGTGAATGAGGAATGATGAAGGGTACGGTTAGGTGGGACGGTAGACCTGTTATCTTCCAAAAGGTTATCAGGTCGACAGCGCATTGTACTCACTCTATTCTTGTAGTTCGTTACGTTTAAGGTGTGTGTGTGTATATCTTGCCAATAGTTAATGGTGTACAGTCGCACACTACAGACGCCATGTTCATTTGCAGGGTTTGCAAACTGTACGTGAAGAAAGACAGCATGCCGCCATCTTGCGTTCTCAATGACTTGCACCTTGACCCTGTACCCCAGTGCTTGTCGCGACTAAACTCATTCGAAAAATTACTCATTCAAAAAGTGGAACCCTTCCAGACATGTTACAAGCTAGACACAAAGCATGGCAGTCGACCGCATTCAAAGCGAGTGAGGTGCCAAGAACAAAATACTCCACCTTCCATTGCCAATTGACGACAACCCGCGTCTCATGCATGACTTGTGTGCTGACAATACAAACATCATAGTGAACTGTGTACCAACCAGTGCGAAGATTGTCTGGAAGCACCTTGTCAGGCCGAAGGTTGTCGTCGCTGCCTTGCATGGTTATCTGAAGAGGCGAGACGAAAGATTCATGAAATTGCTTGCACATTTGTACCAGTTGTACCGGCTATGCGAGTGCCATGGTGACAAACGCATTCTTATTGAGCTTTGAGACACATGTCAGCAGGGCGTTGTTGCATCACTGACCTCTTGCAGTCATTCCGTGAATGATATTTTGCGCGAGTTTGCATCGCACGCAGCATCGCAGATCGTGTCGAATTACGCATCACACTGCAAAATTGACCCTCTGCATGCAAGTGGATTTCATTGCACTTCTCAGTTTGGAAAATGCTCGAATATGATAATTCTGCGTGTGAGTGCACTAGCCCTGAACATACATGTAGGTGACCCGTTTGTGGTGTCTCATAGCCTACTTCACAACCTTCTGCTTTCTTTCTGCATCACTTGTATCTTGCAGGTATATCATCCTGTGACGACCACATTGAAGTCTGAATTTGAAGTGTGAAGATGCTTCAGCAACCACATCGTACTTTTCCATTGCTTTCATTGTGCTTCTACTGTGCATGTGTGTAAGTTGTGGGGTATACTTGTGATGACATTGTGTGCTGGCGACACGGTCAGATTTTGTCCATGCGTGTAACGTACACCTGCATGTTATGCATTGAAAAGGATCTGCCACTTACGATCCTGGGACGAGTATCAGGTCAGCTTTGTCTTGTGTGGGCTGTACCAGATTGCTGTTCACTTCTCTATCTGTTGGATATGTGACTTTCTGCAAGTTTCTGGTGTCTGGTGGCCACTTCTTTGCTTGTCACTTTGTATGATATTATATTCTGTATTCGCTGCTTCCATCGCGTGGTCTGCAAACTGCAATCCTTGGGCAAATGTCATGTTTGCTATGTTGTGCTTTGGCCGTCAGCTTGTCTACACGTTGTAGTTGAATTATTTTGCCTCACAACTGACTTCCTGAAGTACGGTGGCCACTGCTTTGCATGGCATTATACATGAAGAATTTCCTGTTTGTGTCGTGTGCATGTGCGTATGTGTGCGTCGCCACGTGCGTGTGCCGTGTGCATGTGCGTATGTGTGCGTGGCCACGTGCGTGTGTCGTGTGCACCCGCGTGTTTGTGTATCTGTGTGCGGGGTAGCGAGGTGGGGAGGGCTGGTATGTATCAGTGTGTTATTGCAGTCTCATGGCTACATACAGTACATCGCGCGCGTGCTCATCATGTTTACCTTCGGGGTTGGGGTGGGGAGGTAGGGACCGGCGGATTCTGCTCGAAAAGCAGTGAAATTGGCAGAACCATACAAACCTTATGGCGGGCAATTCCTCGAATTCTGCTCCATTTCTTTATCCACATACCAAACATGCATGAAACTCACCAGAAAAAGTACCGAATTCTGCCAATTTTTCTGCCGGCAGAATCCGCCGGACCCTATGGGGAGGGAACGGAAAAAGAACTGAAATTATCCGTATAAAAACCGCTCTGTGAGCTAGCGGTTCTGAAAAACCTTTACTGGACAGACTGGTGCTGCCCCGTCGTAAAAGTAAGAAATTAGAACTGGAACATTGTCCCCCCAAATGCGAACAGATCCACCTAAATCGCGAATGGCGGGACCCGAACGCACCAGTAGCACGAGGTTCCTAGCCGTGGATGCAGATGGGGACGTTGGTCCAGACCATAGGCCATGGTCGTCGATAATTGTACGTGTACTAGCAATACACTGCCACTGATACAATGTGCAATGTACTGCACTATAATAGTGGTGGTGTTACCCTATGCTGTGATCCTGTGTCCTCCCGACCTCGTGCTACTGCTAGTACTGGTGCGTTCGGGTCCCGTCATTCGCGATTTAGGTGGATCTGTTCGCATTTGGGGGGACAATGCTCCAGTTCTAATTTCTTACTTTTACGACGGGGCAGCACCAGTAAAGGTTTTTCAGAACCGCTCACAGAGCGGTTTTTATACGGATAATAAGTATTGTGTTGGACAAACTATAGACAACGTGTAGATCTACATGACTGTACAAATGCAACCTTTCAGTGATCCTATCTTTTTACAGTGATAATCATTGTTACCAAGATCTTAAGAGTCCATAACCCCATTTTATTATTCTATTTTATTTATTTTTTTCCTACAATTATTCTCTTCATTTGTGTTAACATCCTTCATCTTGGCAAATTGTGTTTTGTTGCCCGTAAAAGAGGCTTACTCCATCGGTAACCCCAGTGGTTTATGGGGTCTTGTTGTTACTGCAAGTGCAAGCCAAGGTATAACCGGTATGGGATTCGGAGGCCCAGAACAGTGCCGCTGTGAACTAGAACAGGCAGAGAGCAAGAACGAAAGCTCAGAGTAGGAATCAGAAATGGGGGACTCCATTGTACTCGGAGCTCCGGAGGGAGTCGCAAATCCGGAAAGGGACATGATGTGCTGGTGTACATGTATACGTCTGCACGATATCACACAGTGCAACTCGACTATTACACACTGACATAATAGTATACATAGCGGGACCAGTTGCACCGCGGCACACAGCTGGGGTCACCTTGGCATGAGGGCTGTTTCAGGCACGACCCAAAAGGTCATCCGTACAATCGTGGCTATGTTTTTGGCTCCAAAGCATCGATTCAGACGCGGGGAGCTGCTAACAGGGGAGCACTTGTTGAGAGTGCAAAGCTTAACCTTCCTTGTATGGCCTCTCTGTATTGTACTTGGCTGAAAAAGTTCCTACTTCGGACGCCATGGCCTCGAGATTATTGGACAAGTTCAGGAGTGGACTTGGCAAAAAGCTGACTGTGCGGTTTCTAGTCCTACTTGTAGTCACTCGATTACTTATAGACTTGTTGTTGTGCTTCAGAGTTTTAGATGTTGCAGAGGAAAAGCAAAGTATAGAAGATCGACTTGAGTGCTGAAAGATTCGTGACTTTAGACGACTGGCGACTGCCAGGCGTAGTTTCGTTCAGTGAGATCCCAGTCTTAACTGGTGAAGAGGAGGGTACGTAACCCATTCACCCAGGAAAATTTACTTCCGTAAATGAATAAAAGCTTCCGCCTCTTATAGCAGTTGGTGGCGAGCGCGAGTGAATAATTATTTGCTCGAAGTGGCACAGTCGTCAACCAGTTCAACGAGTGTGTGGCACTGGAGTGCCGGATGAAATGGCCATGTATACCGATAATACCCTGAAATCACTCCCTGGCCGTTGCCCAAGGCGACTACTTCCAGTGATTGTCCTTCTCGTCACACTAACGGCTGTACAGTCTTCACATTCCGTGGATTATGATCAAGAATTAGCTTCTGGCCATGAGCGCCTTCAACAACTTGCACACCGCTATGAGACAGTACATGTTGACACGGCTCACCACCTGCACGGAGTTCGGAAACGTCGAGCGACTCATGGAGACGACAACTATAGCCACCCACCTTCCACCAACTTTGACATCCAGGCCTTTGGGAAGACATTTCGCCTGCAGCTGGAGTTAAACACTATGCTGTTACCTATTGGCACACAAATACGCTACTACAAAGAGAATGGAGAGCTTGTTGTGGATCATGATGCTGTCAACTGCTATTACCAGGGTGAGACGAATGGATTTAGTCGTGGAGCAAGTCATGCTGTAATCAATACATGCAATGGAATTTCTGGATCATTTGGTGTAGGACCAGCTGGTCACTGGACAATGGAGAGGACCTTTTTCATTGAACCGCTGACCAAGGAACCCACTCCCAATGGCACCCACCTTCATGCCGTTTACAAAGCCGGTGACTCGAAAGAGAAACATCACTTGGGGAATTGTGGTGTACCAACTAACAAAAGCAAACATCATGCATCACCACTAGACCTAGCACAGGGCATGCTGAATGTGGACAAGGACACCGTGCACATTCACCAGCGCACTAAACGCCAGGCATCCTCATCGGTCACACGCTATGTGGAGTTACTACTGGTGCTGGACGCAACACTCTTCCGGAGTAGAAGAGTAAATAGGGACATGGCCGTTGCTGTAAACCGTGCTCGTTCTGTTGCCAATTTTGTCGACTCGATCTACAGAAAACTGAATACTCGTGTGCCACTGGTAGCTGTGGAGGTTTTCAACAGAAGAGATCTCTTTGTCACGTCAATCGACCCCGAAAGGACGCTGAACAATTTCAAACTGTTCAGGGACAAGAACCTTGTGGGTCACATTCACCACGACAATGCCCAACTCTTGACTGGACGTGACTTTCATCGCAATATCGCTGGCTACGCATCGGTCAGCGGAATGTGCTCAACCAGATCTGTAGGTGTCAACAAAGATACAAGGTCACCTTTCTCAGCGGTGGCAGCTACAGTAGCACACGAAATGGGTCACAATCTTGGAATGAACCATGATAATGCAAGTATCTGTGTTTGCTCAGCTACATCTCGGAAAGGCGGTTGTGTAATGGCTGGAATGGGCTCTCCTTATGCTGCAGCGCAGACGTGGTCAGGCTGCAGCCGCTCTGATCTCAGCACATTTCTATCACGCGGTGCTGGTCACTGCCTTAGCAACAAGCCAGCCACACTATTTGGTGACCCGGTATGCGGCAATGGTTTTGTGGAGGGCACTGAGCAATGTGATTGTGGTACAGCAGCACAGTGCACAACAACATGTTGTAATCCAGCTACATGTCGTTTCACCACCCGTTCTCAATGCAGCGATGGTCCATGCTGTCAAAACTGCCGCTATCGGACTCCGGGTACACTCTGCCGCTCTGCTGTGAACAGCTGCGACGTAGCTGAGACATGTTCAGGCCTGACACACACTTGTCCCAATGATATATTTGCGCAGAACGGCCAGACTTGCGGCTCGGGGTCATTGGCATCATTTTGCTACAATGGACAATGCAACACTCACGATACTCAGTGCAAGAGAACATGGGGAACATCTGCAGCCGTTGCTCCTCAGATCTGCTACGATCAAAACCGACGGGGCTCTTGCGGTCTCCTTCAATGTATCGGTGGAGAGGACTTTGCCATAATCTCGTCATCAAGCCGAACAAGCCGTAGGCCAGTAAGATATAGCCAAGGCACAGTCGTCTGCAAATCAACTACAATCCCGCTAACTTCGGACATGGTCGATTTCAGCTTAGTGGCCGACGGTTCTCCATGTGGATCAAGCTCGCTTTGTGTCAGATCAAATTGCACATCGATAAGTTCACTTGGCACTACACCATGTCCATCAAGTCGTGGTAGGGTGTGTGCAGGAAATGGTGTGTGCACAACTCTCAACTCGTGCTTGTGTAACCGTGGCTGGACAGGTGCTGACTGCTCACGTGCAACTAGTGGTGCTGTTAATGGTCGGTGGGGTCCTTGGACAGTGTGGTCAGGCTGCTCCCAATCCTGTGGTACAAGTGGTATAAGGACACGCACCCGGGACTGTGATAATCCTCCGCCAAGTAATGGTGGTACGGTATGCCGTGGTGCAACTAGTGACCGGCAAACATGCAACCGTGTTCAATGTGCCACACCTGTCAATGGTAACTGGGAAAAATGGAGTGCATGGTCTAGATGTTCGGCTACATGCGGAGCTGGAACTCGTTCTCGTCAACGTACATGCAACAACCCATCACCATCTAATGGTGGATCACAATGTTCTGGTAGAAGTACCGAGAGGCAAAGATGTCATAATCGAGCTTGTCCTGTAAATGGTGGATGGAGTCCTTGGACAGTGTCAACGCCATGCTCCCAGACCTGTGGCACACGTGGTGTAAGGAAACGCACTCGGGTTTGTAATAATCCTACGCCAAGAAATGCTGGTAGGAATTGCGATGGTGGAACTAGTCACTGGCAAGCATGCAACCTTGTTCCATGTCCCACACTCGTCAATGGTAACTGGGCACGATGGAGTGCATGGTCTGGATGTTCGGCTACATGTGGAGGTGGAACTCGTTCTCGTCAACGTACATGCAACAACCCATCACCATCTAATGGTGGATCACAATGTTCTGGTAGAAGTACCGAGAGGCAAAGATGTCATAATCGAGCTTGCCCTGTGGATGGTGAATGGAGTGGTTGGACAGTGCGGACACCCTGCTCCCAGACCTGTGGCACACGTGGTGTAAAGACACTAACTCGGACCTGTAACAATCCTACGCCAAGTAATGGTGGCAACGTATGTCGTGGTACACATATCAACCGGCAAACATGCAACCTTGCTCGATGTGCCACACCTGTCAATAGTAACTGGGCACGATGGGGTTCATGGTCTGGGTGTTCGGCTACATGCGGAGGTGGAACTCGTTCTCGTCAACGTACGTGCAACAACCCATCAACATCTAATGGTGGATCACGATGTTCTGGTCGTGGTCGAGCTTCACAGCAATGTAACACTGCAGCCTGTCCAACATGGGGACCATGGGGCTCGTTCAGGCCATGTACCAGGTCGTGTGGTGGAGGTGTTCGTGTTCGTTCTCGCTCGTGTCCGTTATCTGCTACATGCTCTGGTTTGGCTACTACTTCTGTTCCATGCAATACCCGTGCATGTGGACCTGCTCCTGTTGACGGTGGCTGGTCAGCATGGTCCGGCTTCTCTCCATGTTCCGCTACTTGCGGCCTTGGCTCTAAGGTGCAAACCCGTTATTGCAACCAGCCATCGCCAACCAACGGCGGCAGGAGCTGCAGGCCTGATAGTTTGGCAGTGGAAACCAACTCTATCCGCTGCCAGAGACCTTCCTGTTCTCAATGGAATATCTGGGGAACCTGGTCAGGCTGCTCCCTTACCTGTGGTATTGGTGTACGTGTGCGCATGAGAACATGTCCGGTTGCTAACAATTGCCCAGGATCAGCCACAGACACTGATAGCTGTAACGTATTAGCATGTGATATGTCCATAGCTGGTCAGTGGACACAGTGGACAGGCTGGAGTCAAGTAGGTACTTGTTATGGCTGTCCACGAGGTAGCTACAGGCAAAGGACTCGCAACTGCATAAGTCCGAAGCCAATGGAAGGAGCTGCTCAGTGCTCGGGTGTAAGGGAACAGCGCGAATCATGTCCTGCGTGCCAAGACGGTGGTCTCAGTGACTGGTCAGAATGGCGTGGAAACTGCGATGAAGAACATAGCCAGAGTCGAGTGCGAGCATGCACCAGCCCACCGCCGACTAATGGTGGACTCAACTGCTCCGGCCCAACAACTGATGAGCGCATCTGTGCCAGGTTCTTGCCATGGAGCGAATGGGCTGATAGTGGTAATTGTTCACTATGTGGTGAAGATCCGGTAAACAACGTTCAAGTTCGCCATCGTCAATGTAACACAACTCGGATTGCCCCATGCACAGGTGACTTGAATGAGACGAGTACATGTCCCCAGTGTGCTACTTCAAATGCGGAAGCAGGTCTCACCAGTTCGAGCATTGCTGGCCTAGTGTTGGCTCTCCTCATTCTCGCCACACTACTGGTTGTGGCCTTTGTTTGGCGCGACCAATTGCCCGCCAGTATTGAGTTTCTTGGGCAGACGTGGAGGACACAAGCACGCGTGCCGAGGCGTAAATTATGAGCACTTCTTGTCGCTGCGACAGGACGTGCGTGGCGACCTGCCTATTCCAATCTGTGTGTGCGCTGGTCACAAACAGGCCACACTACACTGTCCTCACGCCGCAATGAGCAATGATGGTCACAATGGGGTAACATTGAACTCAACAGGGTTTATTTTCCAATTCCAGCCGGGAGTACAATTCTTAACAAGTACCAAAATATTTCAAGCTGATGTTTGCAGTATTCAGTGTTCAGATGAACATTCTTTGTATCGCCGACAATATGCCACTCTCGATCCTCCCTCCCTACAGTCTCGGTCTTAACTTGCAAAGACATTTTGTTTATGTTTTCTGCAATAATTTGTGATAATGAATAATTGAACCTTCTCAATATTTTGTCCCTATTGCCATGTAGCGTATCCACATAGCATGGTCCCCACTCTGTTTCTTTCTTCCTGTCAGAGAAATCTCTGGATTTATTTGAGTTGAAAATTTGGATCAAACTAACTGGTAGTGCTCCTGCAGTGTGATTGGTTTCAGACGTACACACACCAGCAATCATGCTATGCTATAACTTGCCATGCAAAGCAGCCAGTATGGTCGGTGCCGATGCACCAGGAGCAAGACCCTCCTTGTCCCAACAAGTCATCGTACCGCCAGGCTCCTACAGGGCTGCTCAATGAAATCCGATCGCACGAGTCGAGCGAGCGTCGCCTGCTTTGCAGTCCTGTCCTAGACCCGAGAACACAGAGCCGTAGACTGGTGCAGGACGCTGGCTTGACGCGCGCGCGCGCGCGCACGCACACGTGCGATTTGATTTCATTAAGCAGCACTGCAGTTGGGGACTGAGGGAGTAATGGACTGGAGGACAACAGACACACACGTTCCTTTAATACGATAAAAATACTCTTTTCTCTAGAATTTACCAGTCCCTCTTGGAGAGTAAAATAGAATGAAGCAGCACCTGGCGGGGCAAGACAAACATTATTTTGGCACATGTACCTTGAATAGCCTTTCTTGCATTGCTATGAGAGAGAGAGAGAGAGAGAGAGAGAGAGAGAGAGAGAGAGAGAGAGAGAGAGAGAGAGAGAGAGAGAGAGAGACAGGAAAGATGCATGTGGACCACAATGTTGTAGCACTCACACTCTTCAAATAATACGTACTCACCATTTTTGTCCACATGCACACACAGCTGCCATATTCATCTTCTGCTACCATTCTCAGATTCACTGCATAAGTTCACATTACACGCGCCATGCATAACCGCGAGCTGCTGCATTCTCACGCTCCTTGTCAAGTTATTCTTGCTACATAACTGGTTGTTTTAGTGATTCTTACTATGTGACGATGTTCCACTGATGATAGTCACTAGACATTGTCACACACACACACACACACACACACACACACACACACACACACACACACACACACACACACACACACACACACACACACACACACACACACACACACACACACACACACACACACACACACACACACACACACACACACACACACACACACACACACACACACACACACACACACACACACACACACACACACACACACACACACATGTATGTGCATGCATGCACATACACACATGAACACTCATACACACACACACACACACACAATACAATACAATACAATACAATATGCCCATCCGGAGATGATTGCAGGTTCCGAAGGGACCAAGAGTGTTCAAGTCACGAGCAGAATCGGGCGTGGCGAGTCAAGTCCTGGCGACGGCGATAGCGCTTTCCACAAGTGCAAACGAAGTCTAAGGTGACGGGCTCGGTCGGAGGCACACACACACACACACACACACGCACGCACACACACACACACATGCATTATATGGCATTACATGTATATGACAATGTTTTCCCCAGACCCCTGTACAAGACGACCCATTATTAGACAATTTTCTATCGCACCCCGATATAAGACAACATGAAACATCGATTGAATTATCCAGGCCCATGGCCGTTGGCTTTGTCTTGTAATCAGGGAATCGAACCTGCGGGACAACAGAAGCTGACGTTACAGGTGGAATCCTGATAATTTGAACCTCAAAATGCCAGGAAAAAACTTCTAATTATCTGGACATTCTAATTATCCAAACATGAACCCACAACATAATAATGTATGTCAAAATGCTCTCATGGTCACACAGAGTTTCGCTATGGACCTTAGACACAGATTTCACGGATACTGAACTGACCGGCACAGCCTGCTCATGCAAACTGAACTGACCAGTACAGAGTACAGTGAACTTCGAATTACACTTTGCTAACTTCGAATTATCAGCACAAATCCCACACATTTTCTATGTAAGTGGAATCCGTGGGACTTCTAATTAACCGAACATATCCAGTTCGAGGTTGGAATTATCAGAAATTGTTATGTGGGAATCGTATTGATAGAAATCGGTCCTGGAAAAACTTCTAATTACACATTGTAAGCGGTATGTTCGAATTAAGGAGGCTCCAACCTTCTGCGCTGCGCAGCCGGTCTGCCGCTCTGTTTTTTGCAGGCAAAAGTCTTGTGTTTGCTGCCATGATAAGTGCGAACAGTTGGGAAATTCCTTTTTTTACTTGGTAAACCGGCCTCTTGTACGGGCAGAATTAAAGGGGAAGTTAAGGCAAAAATTAAAATTTCACCAGTTGTAGTCTTCAGGGTGCTGAGTCGAATGGTCTTGGTCCGAGAAAGCTGAGACGCTCCCTTCCTACTTGAATCCCAATCGAACTCGCGCACTTCCCCCGAAACTGGGTGACTGCGCCCTACTAGATGGGGATTTGTATGCAAAATGTCACTAAAAGCGCCATTTCGTTCTTATAAAAGCACGGATGACCGCGATTGGCCCATATGTTGTAGTCTTTTGGACGCTGAGTCGACTGGTTTTGGTCCGAAAAGGCTGCGATGCAGCGTTCCTCCTTTATTCCCAATCGAACATGGTTGAAGAAGCGGTCACGTGGTCCTGGGTGCCCAAATCACCTGGTCACCACGCCAGCAGGCGAAAACTTTCACACCAAGGTTCAACTCGAGTGACAGGACTGCACCCAAAAAAGGACCACACAGCCGATTGAAGCGGCTTTTTCTGGCCAGTGAATCCCTATTTTTCATTTTTCCATTTTTTTATTCATTTACTTTTTTTTACACACACACGCCATGGCGCCACACGACATACTCCGGCATACACTGGCTGTTGGTAACCACCCAGGAGCATGAAAGAAGAGCTAGGAGAATGAGAAAGAGAGGAAAGACGTGTGCGACCATAACCGTCGGGATTTGAACCCGCAACCTCTCGATTGGAAATCGACTGCACATACCACTGCACCATATGGGACACACACACACACACACACGTGCGCGCGTCACGGACAAACGAACAAACACCAGAAGCACCAACCATCCCACAGCATCTCACCTTCTCATAAACTCATCTCTTATTGGCGATGGTGCCATCATGAGAATAAAGAATTCAAACCATGACTCGTCCGATCAGCAACCAGCATGACAATGGTGACCCAGGTCCCTTCTCCCACACTCTGGACATATCTGGGTGTGGTAAAATTATGTTGCTGTGCTGGCTTTCGTTCTAGCAGCGCAGCACCAACTCTCAATCACCGGGTGCTGATGGCCACAGTCAGGCTCCGGAAGTGGCTGCTGGGAACCTGACGGTGGTTTGTCAGAGTCAGCCGGTCAGTTTGTGCAGCTGCTCTGGCAGCCCGCTCCATTGTCAACAGGAAACATTATATGTCTTCGTAACAGAGCGTCTCGCTGCAACTAAATACTTCACCAGCATGCCACTGGTCCTACTGTAGCTGTAGTGGAGGTTCTACTAGTACTACTGTATCTGCTAGTGCTAGTACACATGTACACGGCTGCAGGAACTGCGATCATGTGATGGACGTGTGCCGCCGCAAAGACCTGGTAGACTCGTGCAGTAAGAAGATTGTTGTCGAGCCGAACCCCACTTGAATCAGGGACGATTTTTCATTACTAAGTATTCTGCTGATGAAACGGGTTGTGGGACACCGCTAACACGAGCACCGGTGTAGTAGATCTACGATATACGAGTCAATGAATCTGAAGCTGGACGGCACTGCACTGCTCTGGAAGTACTCCCACTGCACTGGCACTGACCGTGACATGATCACGTGATAGTGAGTCTGTGACCCGTAGATATTTTAATTATGGTAGATCTACACAGGCTAGGCTGCAAAGTAAAGTCATCAAAATTAATGAAAAGCGGCTTCGTGGAACCAGCAGGCAAGTCAATCGCCTACGTTGCGTATGGCAGGTATACAGAGTCCAGGTCAAGCATCATGGCTGGCGAACCAAGAAGAAGAATACTGGCATGGAGGTGTCTTGTGGATGTCTTGGCATGCATCGGTATCATCATTGCTGTAGGTATACTACAGGTGGTGACGCCCTTCCGTAGAGGATTTTTCTGCAACGATGAGACCATCGCGTACCCATTCAAGCCGAGCACTATACCATTCTCTGCTGTTGCGGTAGTTTCCACACTTGCTCCATTGACCCTGGTGAGTCATTACAGTAATTGTAGGTCATTGGACATTTGTAGCTACAGACTCAGTATGGTGCCGTCTCTCTCGACTTCGTATCGAAAGCGTTTCGAAAAATACAAAACCAAAGCTGCACTGACAGGATCGCTTTTCTAATGATTACATGTATACAGTCATGTACATGTGCTCGTACTAGTATTTGAAAATTCGAATACACATGTTTGAGACATGTCACTTATGTCATGACCAGATCACAAGCACATGTCCATTGGCATTTGTATAAAATACACGTCATGTATTGACATGTACTACAGTCCATTTCAAAACTATAGACGCGTACCTAGGCAAAAACCGTTATGCCAGCATCTATACCACATAAAATCTGTGATCACTTTGTGCATAAATTTTTCCAAATTGGGCGTCTGTTATCCAATCCTTTAGAAACTATATGAGAGTAATTGTGGAGCGATCCTGAGCAATATTCCGAAAACTATTCTCAAAAAGTTCCAGCCAAATTTGAAATATTTCAAAAACCCTACGCGTCTATAGCAGGGAGTGGTATTTTACGACTCCCTGGTCTATAGTTTTGAAATGCACTGTAGAAATGATAATACTACAGTAATTATGACCCACTCACGAGCTCAGCTGGCTTGCAGCTTGGCGCATCGACTGACTGTGCATGGGGGCCAGGGCCTACGTACAGTACAAATAGGGCCCAGGGGCAGGGAGTTGTTGTATTTGTAAGCTCTTGTTTGCCTGTTCAGGATATGTAGTCTATTGTAGATCCATCCTTGGGCCCCATGATAGGAGAGTGAAAAGAAGTACTAGTAATCGTGACTTATTTGGGAAGTATGGCTGAACGTTTGGACAGAAGGGTGATCATGGGCTGGCGATGCCTGGTGGATTTCTCGTCTCTCGTGGTGATTGCTATAGTGGTAGCCGTGCTGCAGACGGTTACGCCGTTTCACAGGGGATTCTTTTGCGATGATCAATCCATTGTGTATCCGTTCAAAAAGAGTACTGTCTCAACTGTGGTGCTCATGATCGTTGGCGTCTTCTCTCCGTTGCTTCTGGTACGCTGCTTTCTTCCGGAATGCAAGTCTCTGCAGTTTGCTGCCACAGGATAGTTTGCTTTACACAAAGTAATGTTTACAGACTGTGACTACTTTAAGTAACTGTACAGTAGTCAATAGAATGTAGTACAGTCAACTTCGCCAATAACGACATTCGGCGGGGCATCAGAAAAGTGTCCTTATTCGCGAAGTGTCCTTATAACCGAAGTCCCATTTGAATGTATGTGAACCCATATTTTGTATAGTATGATATGCATATCAAAATCAAGCTCTTTTCTTGCTCTATGTCAATGTGTACTTTATTTTCATATTGCAGTTGAAAGGAACTAAAAATTCAATATGCAAGGGAAATCAATTGAAAAATATGCCTTTTTGAGCCATTTACAGTAGGGCTTGGCGGATAATGCCGGCAGAAAAATTGGCAGAATTCGGTACTTTTTCTGGTAAGTTTCATGCATGTTTGGTATGTGGATAAAGAAATGGAGCAGAATTCGAGGAATTGCCCGCCATAAGGTTTGTATGGTTCTGCCAATTTCGGTGCAAAAAAAGCAGAATCTGCCACCTTTTCGAGCATTATCCGCCAAGGCCTAATTTACAGGGCCAGAGACATGTACATGTATGATGATTACTGTACAATCATGTACAACTACATGTACATTGTATACATAATAGGTGTGCTGGTAAATCCAACAATTATTTTGAAGCCAACATAAAAAAGGAAGAAAAAGCCCCCCCCCCCCTTGGCTGCATTTTCTTGCATGTGTGCCTTTTATCACCATAGGCATAGGTTCTGGTACTTCTGCATGACAGGTACATGTACTTGACTGACAGGTACTTGAAATAGCTGTCAAAAGCCCAGAAAGTCGTTATTCAAGCAGTGAATATGACCACGGGGCACTAAAAGCATGTCGCTATACGCGAATTGTCGTTATTCAGATAGTCGTTATATCCGAAGTTAAATGTATACAGTTAGATGGGACTTTGCTCTGGGCATGGAAATTCGGTCGTTATTCGCGAATTGTCGTTATATCCGCAGTCGTTATTAGCGAAGTTGACTGTACAGTGAAACCTGTCTAAGGCGATCACTCAAGGCCAAGGGACGAGAAAAAGTGGTCACCTCGGCCAGGTGCTTCTTATCCAGGTTGAGTGGGTCACGTGAACATATCCACTATACATGTACAATTGTACATGCGATAATTATAATCATTTTGATCAGTGCATCACACTGCAGCCACCTATGCTACTATCACGACTCATGTGCCTGGACGCTTCAGACCTGTCAAGCCGTGAGTGTCGTGCATGCACCATGTGCTTCTACACTTCCTGCGCTGACGTGTACATGTACCATGTGTGGTGCACAGTGCAATGCGTGTATGTACATGTACTAGTAGGGTGCAACGCGGTCGCGGACGGGAGGGTGGTCGTTGGTCGCGTTGAGCGAGTGGTCGCCTTATCCGAGCTGTTTTTGAATGTGAATGCGTCCATGACAAGGAAAAGTGGTCGCCATATCCGGGTGGTCGCCATTACAGGTTTTACTGTAGAATGTTTGTCGTCTTCAGAACATTGAGCGTATGCGTGAAGTACAATGCATTGAGCGTATGCGTGAAGTACAATGCATTGAGCGTATGCATGAAGTACAATGCATTGAGCGTATGCGTGAAGTACAATGCATTGAGCGTATGCATGAAGTACAATGCATTGAGCGTATGCGTGAAGTACAATGCATTGAGCGTATGCATGAAGTACAATGCATTGAGCGTATGCGTGAAGTACAATGCATTGGAATAAAATAATGCCCGTCCACAGGAGATACAATGACATGTGGCAGGTCTTGAAAAACTGACAGTATAAAAGTATGTACATACCTGTCAGATTGAGTGTACATACCTGTCACACACATACGCGTGCACACTTGCTTGCGCTCACTCACGCACACACACACATGCACACACTGTGGGTGAACCGGTATATTACCTGGTACTACTAACTGTAAACATGTTGCATTGTACCAAAAGTACATATTGTCATAAGCAAGAGTACAACTCTAGGATCTCTCAGCCCATGGTCATGATGTGGGTGATCCAAATGCAAAAAAACTGTTACTAGTATAATTATGGGTAAGGCAGCTACGATAGTTGAAGCAGACTACTGGGTGCACCGGTGGGTAGATCCATGTGTCCTGAACCTGAAGAACTGATACTCTACCTACATGACAAGCATACACAATCTCTCTCACCTTCTCATAAATTTATCTCTTATTGGCGATGGTGCCATCGTGAGAATAAAGAATTCAAATTCAAAGCATGGAAAGTTATGCACATTTGATCATACTTTTGCTGGAAGTGACGCAAAAATTCACAGCTCAGGATAGGAGTTGCACACTCTTGGTTATGTGCTCTTGCTTGTACCAGTGGCGTGTGTGTGTGCGTGCGTGTGTGTGTGTGTGTGATATGGGTGTGTGAGTGTGTGTGTGTGTGTGTGTGTGTGTGCGTGCGTGCGTTTGTGTGTGTGTGTGTGTGTGTGTGAGAGTGGTGTGTGTGTGTGTGAGTGGGATCATTTTCAAGTCCACCCAGAGTTTTGGGGATTTCAGGGGGTGTCGGCCGTTGGGCGGTTCAATAGCCAATTGAGTCTCTCCAAGACGCCTTTTGAGTCTCTCTCCCCTCTCCCGGGGAGACCCACGTGACCAGTTTTGGCAGTGAGCAACAAGTACAAGTGTGTGTGTGTGTGTGTGTGTGTGTGTTGTCACTGTTGTGTGTGTGTGCGTGTGCGTGCGTGTGTGTGTGTGATATGTGCGTGTGTGTGTGTGTTGTCACTGCTGTGTGTATTGTCACTGCTGTGTGTGTGTGTTGTCACTGCTGTGTGTGTGTGTGTGTTGTCACTGCTGTGTGTGTGTGTGTGTGTGTGTGTGTATTAGTACAGTTGATCCCAGTGTGTATGTAACCTAACTGTTAGTACTGTGTATTGTACCAGGGTTCTAGCCAAAAGGGGGGGGGGGGGGCATCATTTCCAATTTTCATGTTTTTCATGCACTTCAACGAAAATGCAGTGGAAAGTCACTATTAGATAGTTCATAAAGGCACATTTGTCTGGGGCGAAGTCGGGGATTCGCCTCACACTTTGCATTTAGCGTGGCAAGACAATATTGGAAAGTGGAAAAATGGGATACGGGGTAACTGTTTCCAATGCCCCCTCCCCTCCCTCTACTATTTTGTCTGGCCCGGCCCATCATACGGGTATCAGCTACTTGTATAACGTATCAAAACGCGTGATAGTGTGGTGTACAGAGAGACTGGGCATTCTCTCCTGGGTGCGGGGGTGTCCCTAGCTGAAAGGGGTCCAATAAGAAAATCGTACCTTCATCAGCTATTTATGAAACTTGTTCTTTTCTGTGCCATGTGGTTGACTCTGCAGTTCGCGCTTGGGGCGTATCGACTGTCATTCTTTGACTCCTGGGGCTCATCAGCCTCTCGATGTGAACTAAATGTGCGAGGAAAGCAGTACCGCGTGAGCCCCTGCATAGTGCACTTCTTCCACTTTGCCTTCATCTTCATCTTGGGAGGCATGGTCAATCAGCTGATCACTGATGTGGGCAAGGTATACTTGTTGTGTTCATGCATGCATGCATGTGTGTGTGCGCATGCGCGTGCATCTGTTTGTACATGCATATGTTTGTGCATGCACGTGTTTGTACATGCATGTGTTTGTGTGCACTTTTTTTGTACATGCATGTGTTTGTGAGGTGGAATGTGTGTGTGTGTGTGGGGGGGGGGGGGGGGGTCTTACACCGGTCTTACTTCGAAGTATAATTATTTGAGTTTTGTATACAGTGAAGCCTGTCTGAGGCAACCACTCAAGGGACCTTAGATATGTGGTCTCCTTATCCAGGTTCATGTGAGTGGAAATAACATCCCTTGCTTCTAGTTGCAGTCGTCCTGTGGGACAGATGGCAGTGTTATCACCGGGAAGTAGTACAATACGTACTACTCCCTGGTTATCACAGTGGCTGCCCTGACACGTTTTACTCAATAATGTGGATATGCACTGGCATCTTTCACTTACTAACACCTACATGTATATTACCTATGTTGCCACACCTGCCGACATGTCAGTAGCCTGCCGATTTTTGAGGCATGTCACGACCTGCCGACAATTGACCTTCTCCTGCCGACAAGAGCCATGAAAGTGTCCAAGTTTGACCTTATGCGTGGTTTAGAAGTCATGATCCAGATTTTTGGCTCTTACTGCTCATTACGCGTGTTTCCATAGCTCTCTCCTAAGGCGCTAAGCGAAATCATCATCTGTCTGGGGAAAAATCGGCAAACTCAGCCTGAGTCTCACGCAAAAAAGTTTATTTTTTTCTTATCAGTGCCGTGCGCGTGTGTGTGTATTGAGGTCGCTATATAGGGGAGGGGGTCCGGGGCGAAGCCCCCGGATGATGCATTTTGTTTTTTTATCCTACTGATATTTGGCTATAATGATGTGGCAACACTGATATTACAGAACCTGGTACATGTACCGGTGCTGATAATATGGACTCTGTTGTTCTTGGCTTGCTTGCCTTCTATTACTGGATGACATAATTGTACATGTACCAGTAGTGAGAAAGCAGTGCTAGGTGCAGATAAGAAAGTGCGTGCACAGGCTGTCACAGGCTGTGTGTCATCGAGAGTGCGTAATCCCCAAATAGTGTGCGACTCCACTGTGAGTGCGGTCGCGCGGTCGAGAATTATTTTAAACAGACCAGGAATCCCAGGTGTCTACTGCCGAAGAGGTGGCTGAAGATGCGGACACACTTGATTTGCAGGCAGAGTACACTTGGGACCAAAGCGGAGGATGCAGTATTAGGCTTGGGCCTGTTTTGGACTTCCCACTCTAAATAAAGAATACAAGTATTTATGGAGAAATAGTCGAGAAATATTCGCTTGCACAGTATTCAAGCGGTAGTTTAGAGGCGGGCAAACTTGTTTCGCGATCTATAAGTTCGCATGCAATGACCCAAACCCACACAGTCAATTAGACACTTCCTTTCATCTCATCTATCAAACGTTTTCTTTCCCTTCTCTTTAGAATAGTAGGATAGTGCAGGGAATGTTGGAAATTTGAAAGACACATCACTATCTAGAGTTTGTATAGTATTGATGGAAGAATACTTGGAATAGCCATCGGCTCCCTGTAGTGTCTAGTGTGCCCGTTTGCTAAACATCTTCACTGACCGGTACAGTGTAACGTTACTCGTGTTTTGCTTGCACTGCAGGTGACTATTGGCCGCCTTCGGCCCAACTTTATCTCGGTGTGCAAGCCGAACTACACGGCGTTTAACTGCACGGATGAGCACGGTTTGAATCGCTATGTCCTGGGCGATTTTTGCACTGGTGATAAATCTGATATCGAAGACTCCAGGTAGGATCTTGGATGCTGGTTCCACTTTGTAGCTCGTAACGTTCTGGTCTGGTTGAGTGCAAATGTCCAGCATTAGCGCTGCGTGTGCTCCTGTACCTCTTGCTACGTGTACTTCCGAAGTACATGTTGATGATGTAATAATTGTACAATTATTACATCATCAACATGTACATGTGAAGTACACAATCTGCGGACAGCATGCTGTTTCGTTTTTTGTTTCGTTTACATGTGAAGTACATGTTGATGATGTAATAATTGTACAATCATGTACATGTGCATGTTTCCCATACCTGCCAAGTATCCAGATTTTTTCGGGATTATCCCGTAATTTTGGATGAGCTCCCGCGATCCCGAAATTCCTGTCGATTATCCCGAAATTCATTGTACAAGAAACAAGCTTGATATTGTACTTGGAGCACTTCAGATGACTTGTCACAGGCCAGTGGTTGTCCTTATTGATTCCGGACCGCCATAGCCTGCAGTACCAGTGGATCTACTAGTGCTCCTTCCATGAGCAGTCTCTGAAAACCTCCGTTTTTGAGTCTTGAACATGTGTAAGTGTGATCCGATAATCACCATCAATCATCTATTATCGAAATGTTGGTGCCATCAAAAGTTGAAAAAGGATTGTTTTGGTAAAAATATGACATATCCCGAAAGACCAAGACAAATCCCGGGATTTTGCAATGGCGATCCAGAAAAAGCACTCTCAGTACTTGGCAGGTATGGGGGTTTCCCCCATTTCTTTTTAAGTGTATGAGTCAGGCATTTGTCGCTGTTGTCTTAGCTATTCTTCCTTGCACTGTTTCTATCACCTCTCTGCTGTACTTAATCCATTGTCCATGTTCATTTGATTTTGCCTGCATTTCACCTGATGATAAGGCATGACAGTATACCAGTGGAAACTTTCCAGATGTTCAAGACCCTGAAGTAGGGTGTCCTTCTTCTCAGTGTCGTTGCATTCTTGTCTCCGAGGAAACGAATTTTACATGTACGAGTAGTTTTAAAAACATGGCTGATTGTGTCTCTTCTACGTTTGCAGGAAGTCGTGGCCATCTGGCCACTCGTCAGCCTCAGCCTACGCAATGGTCTTTGCTTTTGTAAGTGTCTGTCCGTGATATCCAGTTCTATCTGACCATGGCTACAATCTCTATGTCACAGAGGCCTGTGGCAACTGCCAGGAAAAGAAGAGTGTGGCAACTGCCAGGAAAGTGCCCAGTCGACGTAGTGCAGAGTACTTATCAGAGAGAAGGGGCTGAGGATTTAGTTGTGACCCTGTCTTTCATGCCTACATATAGGCAGTCATTAGACAATGTGATCATCTGATGCTCCCAGTTTGCCCGTTGCAGTCGTCCTTGGGACAGGGCCGCGAACACGATTTGCATATGGACCATGGGGCACGTTGAATTTCCTAATCCGACGTCGAAATGTTATTTGTTGATCAGTACAATGATGCTTCCTGATGAGTGTTGTGCAAAAGCTAGTTCGATGCATTTTTATATTTTTCATCGTTCCTATTATTGTTCTTCACATTACATTTCCATCTGACATAGTTATTTCTTTGTCCATCACCACTTTCTCTAGAATTTGTTCGTGACATCTCAATAAACCTTCGTGAAATGATGCTTCAGCGAGACAAAAGAATATTACCGATTGGTTCCGAGGATTCTTTCGGGTTCTTGCATCTTTATCTGTTTTCTCTCTCTCTCTCTCTCTCTCTCTCTCTCTCTCTCTCTCTCTCTCTCTCTATCAATCTATCTATCTATTTATCTCTCTACAGCTCTACATTGAGTATTGTGCCATCTTCCGGCGTATGCCAGCGGCGAGGAACCTGGCCAATCTGGTCTTCATCCTGTTTGCTTTTTGCACGATACTGTCACGCATCGACGACAACAAGCATCACTGGAGCGATGTGTTATCCGGTGCCTTGATAGGACTGGGGGTTGCTCTTTCCATGGTAAGATAAGACCTCAATGGAGGAGAGAGAGACAGAGAGAGACAGACAGACAGACAGACAGAGAGACAGACACAGAGAGACAGACAGACAGAGAGACAGAAAGATAGAGGGGGGGGGAGAGAGAGAGAGAGAGAGAGAGAGAGAGAGAGAGAGAGAGAGAGAGAGAGAGAGAGGGAGAGGGGAATCCATAGGGTTGTCATTGGTTACTTTCAGTAATCTCTGGAATAGAAATACGTGTACTGCTAACAATGCATGTGCTTCTGGCATGTGCAAATTCAATTGGAATTCGATGTATTGAATTTAGAAACCGGTTACAAGTGGGCTTTTGGTGCTGAGATTTACTGCCTGTGTGTGTGTGTGTGTGTGTGTGTGTGTGTGTGTGTGTGTGTGTGTGTGTGTGTGTGTGTGTGTGTGTGTGCGCGCACGCTACTGCTACTTTCTGGTGCACAGT